GATAGACAGGTGATATAGGACAGGGGACAGACAGGTGATATAGGACAGGGGACAGACAGGTGATATAGGACAGGTACACCATCCGTCCTGTCGGTCAGGAGGACACTGACTGACAGGAGAGATGTTTCAGCTGTCTGTCCCCTGTTTATCACCTGTCTATCACCTGTTCATCACTTGTCCTATATCACTTGTCTGTCCCCTGTTTATCACCTGTCTATCCCCTGTCCTAATCTGATCTATTATCTGTCTTTCACCTGTCTGATCCACCTGTCTACCTGCTCTCTTCTTGTTCTTCTTCTTCTGTAGTGTATTCGTGTGCGTTGTTGAGAGACATCCTGCTGCAGGGACGACTCTACATCTCCAGGAACTGGTTGTGTTTCTACGCCAACCTGTTTGGTAAAGACATCAAGGTGAGTGAAGAAGCACCTCCGCTGTACCTGTCCCTTTAAGAACGTGTCCAATGTATAATAATGTTCTTAGAGCTCGTGTTAGGAAGTTAAACATCATAATTCATCTCTAATATCTATTTTATATTCATGTGAACACATCTCCTTCAAACTACTGGATTCATTCAAGTTCATCACCAAAACTACATTTTACTGATGACATGTGAACACATCATGATAACGTTATAATGGACCTTCAGCCAGTGTGTGCGTGTTTATTCTGTTGGAGTCCAGGTCAAAGGTCACCTCAGTATCATCTGTTACAGTAAAAGTCCTGCAATCACAATCAAACATGAGTAAAAGTACAAATATATTAGCATCAAAATATACTAAAAGTACCAAAAGTAGAAGTACTCCTCCTACATGCAGAGTAGTATATATTATATTCATCACTTTAATGTTGCAGCTGGTGAATGTGGAGCTTATTTTTATTATGATGTACTGCTGATAGTCTGATCTATAATAACACATCATTTATTAGTTGATTATATATATTTATAATATCAACCTGTCAGATAATGAAGTGAATTAAAAAGTACAATATTTATCTCAAAATATGGAAATACTCAAGTAAAGTAAAAGTACCTATAAATTGTACCAAAGTGAAGTACTTTAGTAAATGTACTAGCAGGTGATGAGGTGCCTTGCTCGAGAGCCGTCCAGCAGCGGAGGCAACAGGAAGTGTTTTCTCTGCCTTTCACAATAAAAGCTCCTGTTCTGTCTCCTCTCTGAACCTGCAGGTGTGTATTCCGGTGGTCTCAGTTCGTCTGGTGAAGAAACACCGAACGGCCGGCCTGGTGCCCAACGGCCTGGCTATCACCATGGATACCGCTCAGAAGGTACCGGGCGGGACGAGTTCACGAAAATACAAACGAAGAGTAAAGTTTAAAGTCCCGAGTTTCTGCAGTTTAGCCAAATGAAATTGAAGACATTTATAGAAGTCTATGAGAAAATGACTCTACTTCTCTCTTGATTTCTACTCCACCAGGGGGCGTTTCAGCTGAAGAGTGAAGTCATGTGAAGTCATGTGTTAAAGCTGCATTCTCGCTAGTGTCCACCAGGGGGCGACTCCTCTGGTTGTATAGAAGTCTATGAGAAAATGACTCTACTTCTCTCTTGATTTATCACCTCAGTAAACATTGTAAACATGAGTTTATGGTCTCAATCTCTAGTTTCAAGTCTTCTTCAATACAGCATGATGTTCATTTAGTACATTATGGTCCATTTAGAGTCACACAGACCATAAAGCAGGGGATGCTTTAGGGCGGGGCTACACGGTGATTGACAGGTCTCTACCACTAAATTGTCCGTGTTGTCGTCTTGCAACTTTAACTCTTTCACAGATTGTTTTCACTTAATCAAAGTTAATTAAAACATTCCTGTCGCCTAAAAAAAACATATTATTCAGCATTCAGTTGTATTTAGCTCCGCCCTCTTTTGTCACCTCTGGTTGCAAAAAAAACAAGATGGCGACGGCCAGATAGCCGAACTCAAGGCTTCAAACCAACATGTGACGTCACATTGACTACGTCCACTTCTTACAAATGTCTGTGTTGGAGACATGATATCGTGTCAATATAAAACTTCTCACGTTGTCAGACAGACGGTCTGAGTGTCGACCTCAGGGTGAAGGATGAAAGAAGAGGTGACTTCCTGTTTGTGCTTCCTGTCTCTCTGCAGTACGTCTTTGTGTCCCTGCTGTCCAGAGACAGCGTCTACGACGTCCTCAGGAGGATCTGCACTCACCTGCAGGTCTGTCAGAAGTCAGAAGCTCCTGTTTGTATCTCAGAATGTATTCCAGTGACTTCCTGTCTGACTCTCTGTGTGTCTGCAGGTGAACGGGAAGAGTCTGAGTCTGAAGCTGTACCTGGAGGAGCCCATCTCTCTATCCATGGTAATCACATTACTTTGATAAAAACAATAAAGAGATGCACGTTCACACGATGGAACGTGCTGTGATTCTGTAGAGACACACGTAAACATAAGCAGGGGGTTATGGGTAACGTAGTTCACAAAGGAGCCGGAAATACGTGTGGTACAAATCTGTACATCAAGCAAGCTGACAAGTACTAATACTACACAGTAAAAAAGTACTTTGTTACATTTAAAATACTAATACCACACTGTATGAATACTCTGTTACAGTAAAGGTACTAATACCACACAGTACAGTAAGAGTACCGTGGTCCATATTGTGATTTGCGTCGATCAGTCAGATGTTTTTTTTAAACCGGATTTCTTCTGATTTCTTTATTAGAGCTCAACACACGTTAAACCTCCGTTCTTTACAATGATTAAAGAAACGTGTATAAAAAGCTCTTGACGTTTCTGTGCAGCTCAAAGAATCAGAATGCAGCTTCACTAACTCGCTGCTCTGTGCTGTTCAGAGGTCAGAGGTCAATAGAAGGGACACGCATGTGGAGTTTATCGGCTCGACATTAGTTCATCTTTCCACATACTAAACCTCAATAAAATACTTTATTTCATTTAATAAAACTAGACAAAGTTTTTAAAGTGAAATCTTGTCCATCATCTAAATAAAATAAAGTCTGAAGAGTATTTATAAGAGTATAAGAGAAAGTATCCGATCAAAGAATCCGTAAAAGAAGACTTTTCTAATCTTCTGATGACTGAAATGAGCTGATTTGATCCGTCAGGACGAGTTTCCAGAGGTGTTGAAGTGGAGGAGGAAGCCATCGCTCCCCACCGTGTCCTCCTCCCTCCCAGACCTGCTGGGGACCTCCTCCCCCGGCCTCGTTGCAGACACGCCCTTCATCACGCACACACTCACAGGTAAGCAGACCTGTCAAACTCCGCCCACACGTCAAAGCCCCGCCCCCACCCTGCCCAGAGATGCCAAGAGACTGAACCGTGAGTGTGTGTTCGTGTATGTGTGTGTGTGTGTGTGTGTGTGTGTAGACAGCAGTTTGGAAACAGAGAAGATCCTGCTGACAGAACCAGTACCTGAACTGGGTCACATGGAGTACCAGCTGCTGAAACTCTTCATCCTGCTGTGAGTACAAAAGTACAAACAAAAATACAACTAGATACCAAGAAAACACACATATTCACACACACATATATATATATATATACAGTGTATATATATGTATATATATATGTATATATACACCCCAACCTGTTTATTTGTTCTAGTTTTTTAAATCTTAAAGATGATAACTTAATATACAGTATATTGTGATCAAGAAATACCACGAATACATTCTTCATTTATCTTCACAAATACTTCCAGGATGTAACTAAAAGCAACGATAAAAACTCCCAAACAGCCAGAGTACACAGACAAAGGTGTTTGTGTCAGTAGTAGTAGTAGTAGTTGTGTAAATATTACAGGTGTGTTGAGAGTCTTTGGTGTTCTACAGTGCTGTATTGTTGCTATGTGCTGCCACCTGCTGGTTGAATATATCTCACAAGCAAAATATAACGTCAGAGTATGGTTTCTCAAAGTGTGGCCCGAGGGCCGATGGTGGCCCTCAGAAACATATCATATGGCCCCCGTTTGTGACATGAAACTCATGCGTCATATTTTAATCATTCACAGACCATTTTATAATATACTATACTATGATGTTTTATGACTCTTTATGACTCAACAGACTGTACTATGTATACATAGTACATATATACTGTGTCATAAATACTCTGGTTGTCTTTCTTCTCTGTCGTCAGTTAACTTCAGTAACAGACTGATGTCAAAGGATCACTTCATGTTATTGTTCATTGATCGAATGCTGCACATGTGATCTGTAATTAATCCATCTCTACCCGTCTGTCTGTCTGTCTGTCTCTCTGTCTGTCTGTCTCTCTCTCTCTCTCTCTCTCTCTCTCAGCGTCTTCCTCCTGGTCCTGTCGTCCTGCTATCTGGCCTTCAGAGTCTGTCGTCTGGAGCAGCAGATGAGCTTCCTGAGCAGCCAGCCGACGCTGAGAGAAAGGTCCATAAGTCAGGATACATCTCATAAAACCATGTGCACAAACATCAGGATACCTGGATCATAAAACCATGTACACAAACATCTGGATATCTGGATCATAAAACCATGTGCACAAACATCTGGATACCTGGATCATAAAACCATGTACACAAACATC